TATCTCTCTTCTTCTCTCTCTCTCTCTCTCTCTCTCTCTCTCTCTCTCTCTCTCGGCTTGATTTTTATGAATTTTTTTTCGCGAATTTTTATTCCACCTACCACTCGGTGAATTTTAATTAAAGCTGCAGTGAGATGAAAGCGTTTTCGACCCTTTCTTCCTTTTTTTTTTTTCTCCTTTTTTTTCTCGTTGAAAATGATTTTTTCTATGTAATTACTTACGTGTATATTTATCATTTGTACACGCGTTTTAACCCTTTCCCTCGATCGTTTTATTTTTATCTTTTTTCATTTTATACGAAATTCGAAACATCCATTATTGACATACTTGTGTACCGTTGTAATATTTGTAACATTTTCATAATCCACGTTTAGTATAATGAGATATGATCGGATATGATTGAACGCCGTGGCCTGGAAAAAGTTGAATTCGACACCTTGTTAAATGTGAAAGGGGGATATTATCGTTAAACCTGACTTTACTACACTTTAAAAGCTATTTATTATTTATATATCTCTAAGAAGATAAGCAACGATATTGCTTAAAAGTTTCCTAATGGCTTGATAGAAATTGTAACGTAAGCTAATTTGAGTACATAAAAATTTTGTGTACTTTAACCTGAATATAAAATTCGAATTACTTATTGGATCGCTTAAATCAATTGGCTTTTCGTTTAAATTTTAATTAACCAAACTATTGGTAAAATTAAATATCATTCGTTTGAAATTTTTTAAATAAAGTTAAATGCGAAATATGTTTTGAATGTTATATATATATCTTGTTCGCAACAAATTTCGACAGAAAGAATTTTGCTCCTGGAAGGGGATTTTAAAAATCTTTTTTCTTCTTTGTCAACAGTTTCGACGTGGAAAATGGCGCCTCGACGTTGGACGGGGGTGCCGGAGGCGGTGGAGGCGCCTCGCCAAGTGCAGGCTTGGTGTTACAAACCCTGCCACAGAGGCGAGAGAGCTTCCTCTATCGCAGTGATAGCGACTTCGAGATGTCGCCGAAATCGATGTCTCGAAACAGTTCGATCGCCAGCGAGAGGTAAGCCCCTGAAACTATACTTCCGTTAAAGTCGATGTTGACTCGAGAGTACCATATTTTTTATTTTTATTTTTATATTTTTTTTTTGTCTGTCTTACCGGAATAAAAGAGGAAAAATTTAACCTTGTAAATAATGAAATGGGAATGTCAATTTGTTTATACGATGTTTTTTTAATCCCATGATCGTGATTGTTCAGCTTCGATCGGATGATAATGAAGTTCGGTTCACACATAATTATGGAATTTTAAATTTGAAAATTAATTTTTTTTTAGTGAATTATCGAAATTATTGCGAATAACAATTTCAAAGAGATGAAAGAAGTGGAGGAGAATTAATTTTTTTAGAAAATGTTATTAAAAATTTATTATTAAATTATGCATTAATTGACTTGTTAAAATAATCATCTGATTCATTTCGTAAGCGTGAAATAATTCATAATTACTGGTTATTCAACGACAAATTGTGATTGGCAATTAAACGAATTTAGTGTAATTTACATGAATTATTTACGTTTACATGAATTACAGATTCCTCTTGGCTCGACACTCATTCGTTAATGAAGCTATTCGTAAACACGATAATTATAATTGGCTTGTTACACGTGTTCATGAATAATTAAAAGAAAATTAGAAAACGAACGTACGAATCTGGCTTAGTCCATTAATATTTGTGTTTAATCGATTAACTACGAAGTTTGTATTATATTTATAATACTTATGAAATTCTTTTGTGTAGTATCTACGTTATCGACCGTTGAGACTTTATTTTATCTACCATAGGAATAAACGCAATCTAAAATTTTTGTATTAAATTCGCTGTCGGTAACATAATATGGATTACAGATAAAATAGCAATTGATTTTATCGACGAAAGTCTTGGTAATCTTGCCAAGACTGCCATCTTGAGAATATTTTTAAAATTAATGGTGATATTATTCTACTAAGGCCATCTTGTATCGAATACTTTGCATTACAACGATCTCAATATTCTTCGAATATTCAATATAGGAAAGTCTGATTGATTAAATCAAATATAATCTGACCGATCGACTAATTTCATTGTCATCAGAATGATGAAAATTTAATCGAAAATATTTTTATTATAAACAGAAACATAAATAAAAAAAAAAAGAAAATTTCATCATAAAAATTTGCACTCTTTCATTATATTTTGGTATAATAAAAATAAATAATATATTAAATCAATTGTGAATTTAATATTGAAAAAAATTATAAATTGCAACAAATGAAAAATAAATTAAATAAAAAATTATATTATATTCAAAGACATCCGATCTGAGCGCAATCGTAACAATTATACATAATCAATTAATACGAGAGAACAATCTACGATTTTTTTTTCTTCTATGTGTAGCTTGACAAAAGTATCGTAGCTTTCTATGGTGATGGTGCTTAATATTTCTATATTTTATTTTTTATTATTTCACATATATTTGTAGTCTTTGTAAATATATACAGCAACAAAGAAGTGAAAAGCAATAATTCTCGCAATAGAAAGAAATTCTCTCCGTCGAATAAGAATTCGAATAGAAAAATTTTCATTCACAGATTTCTGTATGGTTAAATTATTTTAAAATATTTAAAAATTTTTACATCAGAGATAGAGAAAATTCAAATTTTCTTTTTATTTCGAGTGTTCACACTTTGTTGGACGAAAAGAGAATTTTTTTTTTT